TAAGTGTGTTTTCATCCATAAATGCATCGAAAAAGGGGGTTATAGAAAAAGTGCAAAGTGTGGGACCTCATGGCCGAATTTTCAAACATACATACTAAACCTTTCTCATATAATACATTTAGTCTGAGAAAAAAGTTTTCTTTGTGCTGCACCAAAAATTCTAGTATGAAACGTTATTTTCTAGAATAAAGAAATTAGGACAGTAACCTTCATACACCCATTTTAGGATAACCTTTAAACACACCCAGAAACCCTCCAGAAAATTTTGTGGACACAAACAAGGAAAAGAATTGTTTTGAATTGTCCAAAATACAGCTGTTTTCATATAATAGAAACATAATAATTTGTTTTCGTCTGGAATTTTATTGATAACCTTCTTCAGGAAAAGCTTCAACAAACCATAAGTTAAGAATTGGCAGTGATTCATCGAGTGTACCAGTTTTTGTTCGGCCAAAGAGAAAGAAATTCTCCATTCGATGTCTTCATTATTTCCAAATTTGTGTCTTAGGGCAACGAAGTGACAACCGCCTTCGACTATATATTTAACAATGTTAGATGAAGGCCAAAATTGGCACCTTTTTATCCATGAAAATGCTGGTGGAGGCCAAATATTACTGACAAAACATTCAGTAATGTCAAATTCCTGATCTCCCTTATTTATATTCATACATGGTCCATGTATTTTAATATCACGTCCATTTTCTAAACAATTCATCTTTCTGCGTTATGAACTGGATATAAAGAGTTTATCATTTATTCTTACACTGGCCTTGAGAAGACATGTGCATTTATCAGCTCCATGTATAAGTAGTTCAAGTAAAGCAAATCCAGGTGGAATTTAAGAACAGTCAACAAGAAAATATGATAACTTGGACTTCACCGAGAAATGGGGACATCATCTGTTGTTAGTATGAGACGACATATGATTTATATTATTGAGACTTTATGTAATAAATCCGACATGAAAGATGGTTATATGGTGAGTGGAAGTAACAAGGAAGGTTTTAGAATGGAAGAGTCCGATGTGGACGTTATGCTTTGGCCAAAACACGATCTTGTGATCTGGGATTTAACTCAAGCTCAGCATCATTATTCTTCCAAATCCCCCCCTCCCTTTTTTTTTTGCTATTTTAAGATAAACTTATAAAAATGGCTTAAATCTCATATATTTACATTCAGTGTAAGTTTCTTCATGAAATCCATTGGATCAAATTGGGAATCTACAACATTCAATACCCTATAAAACTCACGAAACCTTGTCACTGAGCGGTAGAATACACAGTAGGAACTATATGCATTTTCAATACTCTAGGAACACCAAATTGTATATTGTTTTGACTCAATTTAAGTAAAAACAATTACCCTGTTAAATTATCGTAAAAATACAAGAACTTAATAATTCAGAGTTAAAATTAATTTGTCATTTTCCCCCAAGCAATGATCATTTGCGTTAATTAACTTTCCGCGTTATTTTCTCAACCACTGTTTTTTTCTATCAATTCATGATGCTAAATTGTTTGTTGGTTTCTTTGTTTATTACTCTCAAACCATACAATGGTACATGAGGTACATTAACACATTTATATATATACAGAATATCAGTTCAAGTAAGGAAGAGTAGTATATATAAAAAAGAAGATTATTACTGAAAATATGCCAATATTTTTGTAATTTTTTTTAATGTTATTAATACACATATACTAGAGCTTTTTTCTGTGATGTAACTATTTGATTTTATTTTTTATTCTACTTTATTTTCCTTGTATGTCTCTGCGTTTCATGCATATTCATTACCTTTTTTTCTTTTCTTAAAGCTTTATTTACTATATTGTACATTTATTTTAAAATAAGCATATTTTTTAGCCCCTTAGGATAATTTTTTATTATATAAGGTGCTCTAAAAATGTTTTATTTATTTAGACCTATTATTCAATACTTTTTTTGGCACGCCCCCATATTAATGTTTTCATAATTCGGTATTTGCTCTAATATGTACAGTTTGTTTTATTTTACCAAATTTTGGAGCATGATACATGTAGCTTTTTTTTTATTTCTTCAATCCCCCCTCTTCCCCCGAAAATACAAGAGGTAGAAAATATCTTTTTAATCTATACATTTTAAACTCTTTATGCTATATAAACACAAAACATAACAGCATATTCACCTGGGGCCACTTACAGCACTTTAAAAGACACTATCGAAAAAGGAGCTTTTTAAAAATATCTAGACGCTATTTTATCTCAACAATCGGCCATATTGTAGATTCTATTTTGTTTAAGATATCGAGCCGTTCGAAGGAAAGGTTTTACATGGATTTGGGTAATTATGAATATAATAATAAGGAATTCATTCATACATATTGTATGTGTACTTAGATACAGATTGTTTAAATTCTGGATTAATTTTTCTAATATAATAATAAAATGGTACTAAAACGAAAGTAAACTGTAGGCTTTCCAATAAGGTCATCATGCACGTTTGAATTGCATACCAAATATACTTGTTAGAAGGAGTATTTAATTGTCCAAATATCATTTTTAAGAAGACATATAAAATTTTCATAATTGACCTAGTGCAGCTACAAAACATCGTCTACAATCAAACTTGAATAGATACCATGCTATTCATATTCAGCATTGAACCTTACAACGAAGAAAAATATTAATGTAAGCACCAGGCATTGATTAAGTATTACAACTTCCTCTTTGCCTGTCTAGAACATAATTAAAAAAACATTTGACTCTAATATTTTAAATGCTATTGCAACAAATACATATAAAAACAATCGCCATCAAACCATCTGATGCCCACCCGATCCGGAAATGTTGGTGTAGTATAGGCCATTATTTACACACTGAATTGTCGACGGATTTTTCCGTTATTTCTGATCCTGACAAGGAGCACACGACGGGTGTGACCGGTCGGCAGGGGATGCTCAGTCCTCCATGGCACCTGATCCCACCTCTGTTTTCTGAGAGGTCCGTTTTGCTCTGCTCCTATTTTGTAATGTTTAATGGACTTTTGAGCTCGAATACTAAACAATTATGGACATATACAATTCACCTCGGTCAATGTTGATATTTTTCTGGTGAATAACAAACCATATTCACCACCGAAAGAGTCCATAATAAAGACATTGAAGGCTGCATGATGATACCACTTTCATTTACGAACTTCTGTCGTGGAAAAATTAAAAAAAAATCCAGATTTCAAGTTATAACTTCCGTGTTTTCCTATTGCTGTTTGTAAGACATACAGATGTTTAGAAAATAATCCTGCGATAGGCTTGGCTAATCTTTTTTCCTGCACAGATACACAGCTTGCTCCGGCCGTTGCAACTATTGTTTACAACGTTGTTTGAGGTGTTGATTGTGACGTCACAATGCCGCTGCACGCGCACCGACCCTCCGGTGAATACGGCTTCAAAACCAGTGAATATGTAGTGTTATGAACTGTTTGCGTTTGTATAGATTATATAGGAACTATAAATAGACTACATAATAAAGTTCGTTATCTCAACATATTTCATACAAATAAAGTTACATGTGAAAGTATGATATATGTAAAGAAACAAAATGAGAACTGTATCGTTATGGTTTTATATATTAGTCTTGGACCAATCATAATGCTACAGTTCTGCAGCTACAACCAAGCCAAATCAGAGAATCCCTTGGTAAAGGGGATTCAAGTTTTTTTTTTTCAAATGAAAGGACACATTCTCTTCCAAGGGGAGATTAATTAGATATACTAAAATTTTTCTAGGGTCATTTACAAATCTTCTTCTAAAAAACCACTGAGTCAGAAAAGATGAAACTTTTGTGAAAGCTCCTTGACATAGTGAAAATTCATGGATAATCAAACCATGACCTCTATTGTCACTTTGGGCGATCACACTTTTACATAGGTGAATTTAGGAATCAAAAAATCTGAAAAACAGGACAGTCAGGATCAGTCATATTTATATGGAAGCATCCATAGGTAGTGTGGATTCATATTTGATTAAATCATAACCCCCCTTCCCTCACCGGAGGTAGGGTGGGGCCACTGTGAGCGATCAAAATTCTACATGGGTATAAAAAAGAAAAAAAATGGTACTTTTAATATCTTCTTCTAAGGAACAGCAATGTCATAATCAGTCATATTCATATGGAAGCATCGTCAGGTAGTGTAAGTCTGTTCAAATCAAAACTCCTGAAGGTAGAGTGGGGGATACTATGAGGGATCATATTTTGATATGGGTAAAAATAGAAAAAAAACAATTTAAAATCATCTGCTCAAGAAGAGGAAAGTCATGATTAATCATATTTATGTGGAAGCATCCTCAGTAGGTACTTAGATTTTAGATTCAAGTTTGCTTAAAACATAAAACTCTGAGGGTAGGGTAGGGCTTCTATGGGCGACAATGCAGATTCAACTCTGCTGGTGATGAAGTTTCTCAGGTAAGTGCTGAACATGTTGCCCATGGGCCTCTTGTTACAAAATGTTAACATTATCAACGCCTATCTTTTTTGCTATGGAAGACCATCCAGTAAAATCCCCTATAAAATTATAAAACTTTGAATATCCTTTTTATCATTAAAAGGTAAAATCAGTCAAGCGTAAAATGAACAGAGGAATGGACATGTTTGTACCGCTGATGATTTGTGTAATTATTGTGAAGGTAAAACGTTTTTAAACAATTTTCAAATATAATAAAACACTGCTACCTTATATAGATAGAAGTTTATAGTAGAAAAATATATTGACATGTAATAATACAAACTACACAATTATTTGTTAGATAATATGGATAGAATTTGTTTCTCTCTCTTGTATTATGAAAAGCAGATGCAGAAGCTCATTTTAAGTTGAGCTAAGGGAACTTATTTCAGTATTGTTGCAATTTTGCAATCAGAATCAGGCAAAAGATATATTGATTTTTCACTGAGATAATCTAAAAAAGATTAATTTATTTAGATTTCTTCCTTGTCACAACCATGCCAAGAGTCACTGAGAACAGTTGTGTTCGTTAAATCTTGCCCAGGAAGTCAAGAAGAATGGAAATATCGGGCAGCAAGAAAAAATTGTTCAAATATGCCCCAGTCCTGTGTGACATCAGAGGAATTTTTATACCACTGTCTGATTAATGAATTCATTAATGATACACTAGAAGTATGTGCACCGGAAGCTATCATATTAGGTAAGTTTTTTAGTATATTTAAATAGATTAAGATTTGAAAATGTAATGAAATAAAATTGTAGTAAATGAGGAAGATGTTTCTTTTTTTTTTTAAATATAATCTAATAATTTAAACTGCCTGAACACAACATGTCAAAAAATAAAAATGAAACTGAACTTAATATATTAAATGAAAGAATATTTTGAAAAAAAAGATCCTTTTTTCCCGCGTATTTTTAGTTATTTTTCAAATTATTATATACGATTTTAAGTCAATGTCCAAATGTGTCTAATTCTTATACAAATAAAATCATTGTAACAAGCATAAAATTATAAATATATTTTAGGTCAAAACTGTGCAGAATTCAACATGCATGGGGCAGTTATTCAGGATAATCCTTATGCTAAATGTAACGACTCAGTTCAACCTTGTCCATTTAGGTACAGCTCAACAGAGTCCTATAAATGTAAGACAGGCGAGAATTATAGACAAGTTTAAAAGACATTGATGCAATTCGTGCATATTTATTGTATATGTACATAGTTGAACATATATAACAGGAAAGGGTTATATAAACACAAAAAATATGGATTGTGTATATAATAGAAAAAGGTTGTATAAACAAAAGAAATGCATAAGTTAAAAATGATGACAATAGGAACAAAATATTAGCATTTTCTCTCTGTATATACACCGAATCATTTTTATAACTCGTAAAATGTGTTTTAAAATTTCTGTAGTTATAAAATAGTGGCGGAATAATGATTTTAACAGGATGATCATTTCGTCTTATTATCTATGTTAATAATATCAAAATCTTACGCTATTGGCTCAATATTTCAGATAAAAAATGTTACGATTACATCAAAAGAGAGGTCAACACAACAAGGTACTCTAATTTCATTTTTCTTCGAATTTTTTCGACTTTCTCAGATTATTAAAAAAAAATCTTGTATATTTTTATTATTTTACAGAGACCAAAACAACTGCAGAAGTGAATTAAATGTATGGCTTATAATTTCAATAATATTAATGGTTCTGTACGTTATATCTATAATTGGAGCTATACTGCTGTTCAGATATAGGGTACCCTGCATGGAAAAACCAACAGGTAAATCAAACTTATACAATGACCATTACAGCATTAAGGGTATGTTGAAGTTAGTTGTAAATATAAATTTGCTTTATGTACTCCTAAATTCAGACAAAAGACAGAGACAAAGCAGAAAGTAATCCTGTAAATTTACAGGATTCAATAAATGTAAAACATTAGATCCAAATTAGGCATAATACTATATTATGCCCCCACCCCTTTTCCGTGAAAATTTAAGGTAAATATTTTAGTGACATGTCCTTCAATAACATACACAGAAAATAAATCTTACATGAACTTATAAAAAACATGCTAAAGATTCTTTTACATGGGGGTTCGGAGTTTTTGGAGAATTTTTCTCATTAACGAAAGGATTTTAAATACTTGTTACCTCATCATGTCTGATGTTCAGCCCATTTTATGTTGCAATGAATGGAATATATTTACAACTAAAAGATACCGAATTCATTAATATAGGTAGGGAAAACACTCGTGACTCAAAGATTTTTATCTTTCATTACAAATTGTATTCCCTGAAGGTACAGTGTAATATGTTTTAATGGTTTCCTTATGATCACTCAGACTTATTCATTTATTTATATTATCATCAATATTTGTTATAACTCATTTTGTTTTTCATAATTTGCATGATACAAATCATAAAGGAAGAATATTCTAAGCTTATATTTTCTCAAATACATGTATACGTATATAATTATATTTTTTACCAGAATCACCAGATGACGACAAACAAGGAGTAAAATTTAGTGACATTTCAAAGAAAGGTATACGGTATATACTTATAGATACTTAGATAAATTAGATGGCTTAGTATGATGTATGAATTAAACATAAAGATTTTATATGGACAATGAAAAAAAAATATACAGTGGTGTTTTTGACTGAATTAAGTAATTAAATTCGATTCATTCTCAAATAATTTACGACGTAAAAATTATATAACATTTTTTTTTTCTTTTATATCTTTGAATTCCAGTAATACAATCGCATTCAATTTCCAATAAGTATAGAAAATAATTATTGTAAAAATATAAAGATCTGTACAAATTTAATTAATTTTAAAACATTATGATCTTTTCCCACAAGATAACGACGCGAATGACGAGGAGGTCGGACCAAAAACCCCACTTATCAAAGATGAACATACAAATGAAGAGGGTAAAGAAGGCCCATCATCCTCAAAACCTTCTCAACGTCCAACGAGAAGTATGGATGTTTTGAAATAATATATCTTAACGTTTAGACAGATTGCTTCTTCAAAGTGCAAATGTAGAAATTTTCAGTTGCAAATGTCTGAATGATAAAGCTCTGCCATTTAGGCACATGTACCTGTCCAGACCTTTAAGTGAACATTCAATTGACTGATTGACACAGTTTCATTTTGTAATGCAATAAGGAGCTGAATGCCACTTTGCCTCCGCAACTAACTACATGTATGTCGTAAGTTTCTGGGTTGAATAAGCACACATTGAATATTTTCTCCCTTTTTATGAAATCTCTTTTTTGTTATCAATCTATTTGTATCAAACTAGAAAGATCCTATTTCGAGAGCAGACTTATTGCTTAATTCTTGTTTTGCGTCCCTTGTGAGAATTTCCTTCTTTCATGTAGAAGGTGAAGATAACGAACAGTGATCGATCTCGAAAAAATCTATAAACAATATAAATATTTAAAGAGGGCATAAAACACGGACCGCTGGAAACTCCAGAGGTGGGAAGCATCCCCTGTTGATGTAAGATGACACAATATACCGATGAAGGGCTTCAAATTCAGACCTTTTCTAGGCACAAAATCATTGAGCAGTGAGTGTTTTTGAGATTACCAAATTAATGTCTTCTTTTCATCAAGTATGTAAAGTAAAAATGTTAAGAATGTGAAATGTAGCGTCCGTACCATTTATTTTTGAGAATAAGTCCGGATTTATTTGCAAGTCATAATTGATTTTTTTTCAATTCATCATTCATTAATTTTGTGATAAATTTATGTAGACTTGACTCTAATGCATGCTTAAATGTAATAGTTATTTCGAGATATTTTTGGGTGTAAACATTATACATGTACATGGATAAATTTTGTACAAACTTTCTATTTAAACTTATCAAAATAGAAATTTTGAGATATCCTTCAATCTGTATTTTTTTTTTTTATAGTTATACATGTAGGAGGCCTATACATTTTTTAAATGATTTATTATAATTTGATATTTTTATTTTTGAAATGTTCGAAATTTAGAATTTAAAAATATCTACCAACATTACAGATCTGTGAACATGCATAAAACACGGGCACCCTCAAACTCCAAAGGTGTTATCAGGGACTTTTTCTGTATATACAATAAATTTCCAATATATGATCTCACAACAACGTTAATCAATAACAGGTACATGAAATACATCAATATCCAGAAATCGTTTAAGAAAAGCTTTGCAATTTTAATTTTTTATGTTTTAACATTGAAATTTTTTAAGGATTTTTATTTTTTTCTTTTAATGCTAAAGGTGTGTAAATAACAGATGTTTCTCTTAAGAAGGTGAAGGCAACGAACACTGATCGATCTCAAAAATCTATAAACAATACAAATCTTTAAAAAGGGCATAAAACATGGACCGCTGGAAATTCCAGAGGTGGAATCTTATGCCTAGGAGGAGTAAGCATCCCCTGTTAACCAGTCTCAACCGATGTAAGCCCTATGTGTTGATCTGGTAGACAGAGCATTCAGTAATAAAATTCAGTATAAAAACAAAGGCCTTACAATTAGTATGAAACATGTCAGCTAAAAAATAAAACCAAGAAATGATAGATTATATTTGCTAAGAAGGTCATAATAACGACCATAGAATTTACCAAATGCCGACTTAACAGGAGGTCGTTGAAATTCCTGTAAGATCAACTTACCTGTCAGTAGCCTGCCTCGGTTGAAAAATTGATCGTAATCTGAGCATGATCTTGAATATTGAATAAGTCGGGACTTGTAAACACCATATGTAGGCGATAGCATAACATATATACGAAAGTTGACGATGGAAAAGTTGGAGTCATCTCGTTTGTCATACAATTTAGCTGTTAGTTGGCCCTAATCGTCTCTAGTCAGTAAAACATCCAAATAGGAAACAGATGTGACAGATGCTGTGGTGTCTTTCATTTCAAGTTCACTGAGATATATCGAATCGACATATGAATGAAAGTAACTATTTTTAATTGATAATACATCGTCGAATTATCTTAATGTCGAGTTGACAGCCGTAGCAAGTGTTTTGTTTAATTTTCTCATGTAGAAGTTTTTAAAATAAATTCTGCTTCATAGGAATATAAAACACATTCCTGAAGCACACTAGCGCTGATTCTATTTTTTATTTTATATTAGCTAAATGGGTATCATCGATTTACATTGGTGACAAATATTGTGGACTGGCCTACTTAAACCCTAATTCTCCGGAAGATGTTATACCCGTTGGAAATGTCGAAAGAATCGGTGTTCTCATGAATGAAAAGGGGAAAGTAGAGGAATTTGGAGACAACGCTCGCGAAAAGTATATTGAAAATTGCGAAGGAAGCGACAAAAGTGTGTTTTTAGATGAACTGGAAATTGATAAAAAAGTGGTAGGTTCAAGTAAATCTATCAGCTTTCTTTCGAAGGATGCATTAAATATTGTGACTATAGTCAAAATTACAGGGTTCTGTTTCTTTTAATATAGTTTGAGAAGCTTAATTGTTATTATATATCATTACAGACAGAGACTGGAAAGAAAAAAAATGGAAACAACAAAAATTTATCAGGAAATGATCCGTTATTTGCGTCGGAGGATTTACAAAGAAATTTCAACATCGAAAGATAAAAAAAAAGAGGAAGATGAGATACTTCATGTTATCACAGTTCCTTATCATTGGCATGACAAAATCGAGAATCTAAGAAAAATATTCGAGGAGACTTTGGTAAAACATCTATTTCTAATACTTACATGAACATTCGATGAAATGTATGGAGATAACGAGCAAAATTCTAGCCCAGAAGTCCATTAAACAATACAAATTTTGGAGCAGAGCAAACACGGACCTCTAAAACATTCAAGAGGTGGGATCAGGTGCCATGTATAAAGACTTTCCTTTTAAAATTATGCAAAATGGTTCATGTATTGATGAAAAAATAATTAGTATACAGCATATTTTTAGTGTGCATGTATATACTTATCAATGTCAAATCTTAACCAACCAAAGCAATGATTTTTTTAATGACATTTGAATGGTTGGCGTTTTGTTTGTCTCTTTTTTAAATCGTTCCAGTTGTGGTGAACATAAAACAAATTTCAACAAAACCAAAAGAAAAAAAGAAAACAAGCAATCACATACAAAAAAAAAATTCTTCTTAAATCAATTTTTTTTATTCGCGTGGATCATTTTCTGTGGATTTAGTAAAAATCGGGGATAATGGGCACACCCCCCAAAAAACTTAGCTAACTCTTATTTCTAATCTTTCTCCCTATTCTTCAGCGGGAATCCTCATGCCATTTACAATGTTAAGAGTACGTTAATAATTCAAAACAATTGCTAAAATGTGAAAAAACCCTTTAATTTCTAATTAATATTTTACTCATCGGTATTTTTGAAAGTCGGAACTTTTAATTATAAGCGTTTACAAGTTACAAATATTATTTAGTAGATGGCATTTAAATTTACATGGTGTTAAAGACTGATTTTCACATGCACAGCGTGTTGTTTCAGGACTTGACAGTGACATCCAGACCCCCTTGTTTTAATATCTCAGAAAAAACCACCCCGGCATCCGATGCCTATTAGTTGCTACTATAACAAAGTTATTGGTGTTATTTGCAAATAAATAAACACATTGCAAGCAATTAAGATCTATCTAAAGGGAAAAATAATGGTAACGAAAATAGGCCTTGTCACAAGGATTGCATATGCCATAATACAAACAGTTCAAGAGCGTCTTTTTCAAAAGTAGGTCAAACCTTATAGACAAGGTCATGATGTCAAAATTGTTAGGCCTAAAGAAAGAACTTGCCACAAGAAACACACATGTAAATTTGAAGCATCTAACATGCTGTTTTCACAAGGCATTTTATAAGAGTCGAAATTCCAAAAGAGCCATTGAACACATAATTACAAAGAAACGTGTAATTTTTTTTCTTCCACTAAAATATATAAGGTGATTTTTTGTATACAATGCCTAATTAATACACATGTACTTGCAAAGTATTTGCAATTTTATACTTCACGAATATCAGAAGCTGATATAATGAGGGACTTTAAAAGAAAATAAAGGCACGAATAATCGGATAAATATACCTTACATGACTATTTTTTTGTATTTCGTGAGCTTTTCAGTTACATGGCACATGTACTTAACTGCTAACTTTAAGATCCTGAAGGATATACAACCGTGTTATTTGAAATCATTTCATGCTACTCACTTATGTTATAAGAATAAGCATAAAGTTTTTATAGAAACTGTAATTACTTAAATCACCATAAACAGTTTAGACATTTGATTCCAACTTTGGTGTGTCCAGGGTTCGTGGCTTTGCCCTGTTCTTGATTTTTTTTTTCACAGAATTTATAAGATTGGTCACTCTTTTCCTCGCCTTTTACATAAGCAATGTGGTTAATATGCTTAATTTTCCTATAATTAATAGAGTGGTCATGACAAAAAGGAAAATCTACATATACAGCTGAGAGAATAAGCCATTTCTCCATACATTCATGAGGTTAAAGCTTCAGTATTGTGTTTAAACTTCAATGTTGACAACTTGACATTCAAACAACATACAACATACGCCAATCTACATGTTGGATCAAGTAAGTGTATCTATTATTACAACAATAATAATTCTAAGAGTCAAAATAATCTCAGATACTATAATATTTTGCAGTCATACCTTGTAAACAAAATTTGGGTTCCATCACAGGAAAAAAAAATAGACCTTAAGACTAAAAATGGGCTTTCAGTTACTTTTAGAGGCAATTCAGTCGATGAATGACATATTTTAGTGACCTTTCAGTCTTATTTCCATGATTTTCCGTCGTCTTTAAATTGCCTTTCAGTGTTATTCAGTTATATTAATACCATTATCATCGAAAAAATTAAAAAAAAAAAACACCATATACTGAGTAAAATGATGAACAGTTTATAAATGAAATTATACAACTAAAAGATAGCTGTAAGGCAGCTGAAGGCTTCTGTCGTGGTCATTCAATTACCATTTCGTCGACTAAGAGGTGTAATTTCATCTTGTTTAAATGAATCGTTTATTCTAATGGATGTTTGAGAGAAGCTTTGGCTTTTGCAGTTACATAAGGACAATATACGTTATTTCTGTTGCGACAAAGATATTTAGCTTAACTGTTAATTAAAAGATAATAATGGGCCTTTTTTAAAGCGCGTATTAAGTTGTTTAGGAAGTGTACAGCAACTATCCTATCCTCAGGCCCCTCCTTCCCACTTTGACCAGCTTCTGTCAGGTTTTTTTCCCCGGAATGTTTTTTCTGTCTTATTTGATTTCTTCACTAAATGATATTGGAAGGAGATATTACCCCTTACGAATAAGGTACTGATTATTCAAAGTTATGCACTTCTATACCTCCCATCATCCCTTGTGTTGATTGTATACCGGTAATGTTAGTGTCCCCAACACCACACCTATAACAGCAAATTAGGTTTTCCTACCTATTACATGTATCTTTGGCTCGGCTTCTCCGTGCATACGCAGGTTTAAAAGTCAAAGTAAGCCGTCGACTATGAAAGTCAGCGCTTCTCGAAAAAGTCCAAAAGTCGTTCTCTTTTTATATTCAAACATTTGCTAGACAAAACATTAAATTAATACGTTCACACAAGAAATGGTATAAACCAAAGAAAAACATACATTTTTTCATGAAAGTAGCTCCCAGTCTTGGCAATTTTTCTATTTCCTAATCAACGTCCTGCTTATATTTTACGACTACCAACAACGGGGCATGAAATTGGATATTTATTCATTTTAAATCAAATTTTATTTTTTTCAACATATGACAAGAATCAAAATTCAAATACAGAAATTGTTGTTTTAGAGTACTGCAACCTGATGTTCCTAAAGGTCGAGGATTTCAGTAAACCAGATGAGATTTTGGGGGAAACAGTCCAAGAAAAATGGGATACCACACCTGAAAATCGATTTATGGATAAAGTTGCGGAAGTATTTTCAGCTCAAACTGTAAAGGTATGGAAAGAACAACATCATAGTGAGTACGTGTCGTTAATGTGTCAGTTCGAAGAGCAGAAGAAAAAAATGTGCGAAATCATGGATGAAAATAAAACATTTGAGTTCAGTCTATCCGTAAAACTCAAGGAACTAAATGATTTGAGTTTAAAAGACATCGAAAAAAGTGCTAAAAGAATACGAGGCCTTGAACTAAAAAATGATGCAACAGGATTTAATATGTCCTGGGCCTTATTAAAAGAGTGTTTTTCTGAAGTCAGGAGCAAAACGCATAAAATCATACAAAAACACGCAGAGACATTTAGGAAAAATAAAATTCGCTGCGTAATAAAGACTGGGAGTTACTCACAAATGAAAACATTTTTATTTGAGGCGGAGAAAATATGGTTCCAGGACCTTAATGTACCAATAACTGTGGCGATTCCAGTGCATTTAGGTTCAACCTTTGCCATGGGTGCTGCGTATTTCAAGTATAAATTTCCAGACTGGAAAATTCAAAAAGGACTCACCCGGTGCTAAATTAATATTTCTTTTAAGAATTGTTTTTACGAAATGTTTTAGGTGGGAAGCATTTCAAAACTCCATAAGCTAGGTAAGATAAATATATTTTCATATTGTAAACGAATTTCTTAATAAAATCCCATATTAACATCAGCCAGTGAAGAGGTTAGGAAAAATAATTGTAGGAGAGGAGGACAATACGTAGGACCACATCGGGATTCGAACCCAGGCCCATGAATCTATGATCAAATGCTCTACCAGCTGAGCTATCTGGCCACCTGCGATTGAACCAGTCTAACTGCTACACATTAAAATGCAAATGAGTCTGGGTGAATAAATACTTATTTTTTCCCTAAAATTCATACTTTTTTTTATTTTCCATAAAAAATGTACATGTTAATATGAATTGATGTTGCATTTATCTTGCCTTGATAACATTAACAGAACAAAAACTGAAAGCAAACTGGATCTCACTTTACTGAGATGACGTGTTTTCCTCCTACTTTCACGACCTCTGTAGCAATTGATAATTGACGTATCTGGCCGAACTAAGAAGACACGATTTATATAATAATTAATGTAGACAGCAGAACTTCTATCTATCAAAAATTACATGTATACTGCTAGAATTTATTTTGTTTTGTAAAGATTTTTACAAAACATTGTAAGGCGTACAACTGTGTATTTCCAAAGGGCGTCCTTAACCTAGCTGCAAATGCTTATTTCTACCTTAAGATTATAGTTACTAGTATAAACATGTCTGATAATAGATTTGCATTTTATAGTAAGCATGAATTTTGCAAATTAGTGTGTAACATACTCCTGTTTATTCATGCAATTGATGTGTACGTTCTAATTATGTAAATTTATGATATATATAGTTCTCTTAACCTTTTCCAACTGAACTGAACCAATTGATGACTGACGAATTGTGCGTCGTGTGTTAATTTGTCATATTTTTAACTGTCTTCCGACAGGTGGGTAGGAGAGTACTTTTCTGAGTATAGTATTTTGCTATGGTAAATTACCCCCCCCCCCCTCCCACACACACACACATTTTTGTTGCTGTAAGGTCGAGCACTTGCAATTTCCGTTTTTTTTTCGGGGGGGGGGGGGGCTTGTCAGATTATTTAGGGAAGTTGGCCCCCCACTTTTTGGTCAGTGTAGGTTTTTTTTTTTGGCTTGTCAGATTTTTTGGGAATTTTCCACCCCCTCCCCCTTTTTGGAACCGTCGCTACGGGTCTGCAATGTTCTTGTATTGCCAGGAGACAGTATCCATATCTCAAAAGATTAACCCCGATTTGGGGGTGGTAGTGGGTATCCTTCAATTGTAAATTTCTCCGTGCTTTCTATATTAATACTTCTTAAGTAAGGGCAGCTATGTTAGTTAAGAAGTTCATTGTAAATTGCTTTAGAAAATACTTGTACTATTTGTATCACTTACGATGCTCTAATAAAACAGATGTCCCAATAACTGTATCTCACTTCCATTTTCAATGACAGTGTAGTGTTGGGTGGAGCCGCGAGAATTCCATCGCCATTGAAAGAAAATATTTTAACTCGCCTAGTTCTTCGAGTTCCTGCTCTGCTATAAGAGAGGTTCCGCGGGTCGATAGTTCAGACCCTTGGTTGGGCAAAAGTGGGTAACCTTGTCTTGTATACATGTATATATACATATCAAACACTAAAAAAACACTGATAACAAAAACAAAAAAGCTTGCACTACAGCTAAACAATTGAACTCTATAAAGTTGCAATTACAATTTGCATGTTGAATTTTAAAGTTAAAACATACGGAGTCAAAATAATGCCCGGCTCTATATAGCACGTAAGATCTGTCTGATAAGCCCTGGAGGGACACTGACTTACTTGTTATGACTTATTTGTTATAGCTTATTTGTTGCGAGTTATTTGTTATGACTTTTTATTTCTGGTTATGGCTAAGTATAACGTAGATATGGAGAACGTGTATCTTGACTTGCGTTTTCTTGAAAACGAAATGTTTAGTCCTAGTTTTACTATGTTTTTTTTAAAATAATTAACTGTAGTTTAACGTCCATTACAGTTGTGATTATTTAGTTCTTATCTGTTATATCTTGTCACTAAGTTGCTATAACTTAATTGTTATTTGTTCATTCTTATTTGTTCTTTCTTTTTACTTAATAGTTTTTTCTTAATTCTTTTTTGCAACTTCCAGTGTGCATAATGATTGAACACGTGAACATAACTACTTCTTTGTCTTGTCGTTGAGATAAAATTCAAAGGCAAAATATTCTTTTCTTTTCTGAAATTACAGGTAACCTCCATCTTGTACGCCACGTTTTGGATTAAGTAAACGTGTGATAACAATGTAAAATAACAAGAAATAACAATTAAGTCATAAGAACTAAGTCAAAACACCTAAGAAGTAAGTCAATGTATCTCCAGGGCTTCTGTATCTACGAGTATGGTACACTCTGCCAGTCTATTAAAGTGCTATTTAAATAATTGAACGATTCTCCACTTATTTTATCGCTTATTTATCTACAACATTGTTTCTTTTTATCAATTAGTTATTCTATATTGATAGTGCAGGGCTGTTCGATTTAACACTTTTCGTTGTTCATTAGCGATAATTAATTCGTTCCATTATCCGGAAGAAGTATAAATAAAATTGCTTTTGACTTATAACTGCGCACGACCACAATCCTTTTGCTCAGACTTTGTATTCAGGTGTACTGATAAAACCTACACTCTAGACTTTCCTGTCATCTTCTATTCCTTTCTGAATATTCCATATACATAGGTAATCATAGATTACAGAGCTCAGCTCAAACGAATATTGTCTTTAAATAAGGCAAAATCCCACACTAAACTAATAATCTAGGAGTGTGCATCCCTAGATGCATCATCCGTGCAAGTTTGGTTCAGGTAGGTCTTAAAGTTTTTGGGAATGGACCTTCTTCAAAAATTTTATTCTGGTCATTCATCGGAAAAATGTAGGTCAGATCCCGCATCTAAAGCAAGTCTGGTAGTGTTCATACCTAGATGCATCATCTATGCGAATTTGGTCCAAGTAAGTCTTATTGATGATTGGGAATGGATCTGCTCCAAAAACCTTAACTTGGTCACTTTTCTGGAAAATGTAGGGCAAATCTAGCATCTGATGCAAATCTGGTAGTGTGCATCAATAAATGTACCTTCAATGCAAACTTGGTTAGCATAGGGTTTAGCATTCGAAGCAAGTCAAGTAGTACTAGTGTGTGCACGTGCATCCTTAGATGTATCATCTATGCAAGTTTGGTCCACATAGTGCAAATAGTTACTTTAGAATGAACCTGCTCCAAAAACTTTAACCTAGTCACTTATCTGGAAAATATAGGTCAGATCCAGCATCCGAAGCAATCCTGGTAGTATGCATCATTCGATGTATCATTCTTGCAAGTTTGGTCAATATAGGGCTAAAAGTTACTTGGAAATGAGACCCACATCAATAACTTTAACCTGGTCACTCATCTGAGACCCACATCAATAACTTTAACCTGGTCACTCATCCGAAAAATGTAAGTCAGATGCAGCATCCGAAGCAGGCCTGGTAGTGTACATCCCTAAATGTATGATTCTTGCAAGTTTGGTCAAAATAGGGCTTATAATTACTTGGAAATGAGACCTGCTCCAAAAACTTTAACCTGCACCAAAAACATTAACCTGATCATTCTTTAGCTGAAATTGCAGCATCCGAAACCTTGATTGGTGCGATGAAAGAGACTAGAAGCATCATCCATGCATCTCTGATTAATGTACGATATATATTGAAATACTTGAAAAGAAATCTGCTCCAAAAACTTGAACCGGCACGCCGACGCCGAGAGTATTACCTAAGCCCCCCCCCCCCCCCCCGAAAAAAAACTTCGTTGAGGTAAGCTAAAAATGCAATTACTGACAAATCTAAATTTTATATATTTTCTTGCTGAATGATAGGCACAATCCAATAATATTGGTAATATCTTCTGATGTTGATTATGTTTGATAGATAATTTCATAAAGAAAATAATAATGAACATTTTAAGTCATTATTTCGTTGCAGTGAGGTATTGGTTTCTTTCCTCAGAGGCAAACAACTGAGAATATTTAACACTGCATTCAGAGTCAGTGTCTTTTCTGAGGAGTTGGTTGTCTTCATCATGATTTTTTGGTTCAATATACCCATGTCCATGAGAGAATGAATTAGTTTTACATACTAGCGGAGAATTTTCCACTTTCATTTCATATCCTTGAGCATTCTGATTACTATGATCGATTTCAGAATTTTGACAAATTCCGTGCAGTTGTACTGCATATACATTCTGAGCTGTGTTGTATCCTTTTTTTTGCATTAGCTAATCCTTCGAAAATGATTTTGTCCGTTTTCACATTCAACTCAATCATGTCAAAGTCTGTATATTCCTCCAAGCCAACAGACGAAGTTGGGTGTTTTGGTCTTGTCTGTTTT